TTATTAAGTGCTGGGAACCAAACCCAGGGAAGAAGACAAACTCTCTTCCAAGGAGCTGGAACCCCTGCACTGGATCTTGGAATGTTCACCTTAGACCTTCAGTTGGGCCAGTACAACTGTTGTCCTCAGAAGGGCAGAAAGGAAAGGCAGGATGAATCACACAGGAGAGGAGGAAGCAATATTACCCTGGAGATAGGGACTGTAACAAACTGGCCACTCATCAAGGAGTGTTCACACACACCAGAAACTGGGAGAGGCAAAGAAACTCCTTTGACCCAGAGCCTCAGAGTGAGCATGGACCAGCTGACTTCTGACTTCAGTCATCTGACCTCCAAGCCCTAGGCGACCACTAATCCACTTTCTGTCTTTGCAGTTTCCTAGTCTGGACATTTGTATGAATAAAAGCATTCAGTGTGTTTGTCTTCTATGTCTAGCTGTCTAAATAGCACACTAACACCTTTTATATTCTGACTACATAATACTTCTACTTTCTTGGCATAGATTTACTCAGTAACACAACCTACAATACATGTGTTTTTAAAATCTCAGTATGCCTTGAATCACTTTAAACTCCATCATTGCTTGGGCATGTCTACATGAGAATACCTCATAGGGTAGCCGAGCCTCTGAACCTGCTCTTTTGTTTGGACATCCCTAATGTGCCAAGTGCAGTTCCTAGGGCACAGAAGTGTTGTGCAGAAGCCACAGATCTAACAGGGTGCATTTGCCCCAAATGGTGAGAAACCCCAGTGAAGTACAAATAAGCTGGGACACAACCTTCCTTCAGTTCATACCAGTAGGAGCAGCCCTGGAAATGCTGGTGCCTGTTCAAATTGTATTCTGAAATATATTTAGTATTTGCTTGCTCAGCAGAGGCTTCAGACCAGAGTACTGCAAGAGGCTTTTTAACATGGCAGAAACTCGAGGGTCACCTGAAACCAGTTTCCACAAAGCAGTATGGTTCTGTTTATTAGAAAGCAGTTAGCATCCCCAGCCTCCTGCCCATCCATACTAGTGGTACCTATGGTCATGATTAACCTGCAGAGCATCTACTGCTGGCGAGAACTAGTGGCTAATTCACCTCATGATGAAAAGCACTTTCACATACCTGGAAGACTCTGGGGTCACAGTCCATCAATTTCTTCTGTCTTATTAGTTCGATTTCTCGCTAGTGGTCATTCTCCTGATAGTTATGAATCTACTCCATATTTTTACATCATTAAAAAGAAAAGGCAACACAAAACATCTTTCAAATTTCCCTTCACTGCTGGCCTGTGTTGCATCGGTATCTCTCACCTGGATTCTACATTATTTTCCTAATTGCTCTCCTTCCAGCCATTCCTGAGATTCCTACCCTAGCTGTCTCCTTATCAGAGGGATCTGTTAGACATGGAGGTTAGGTCAAGCTGTGCTTCTGGCAGGATCTCCAAGTAGAATCTCATCACCAGCCAGCCCTAACCTAGACTTCTGTTCTTTACATTCCAGGAAAGCTGGAAACTACTTTTTCAGACATAGTTGACAGATGTTACAACCAATTGCCTCATTAAGAAAGAGTTCACACAATACTCAATTACCCCTTTAAAGAATAGAATCATCTTTAATGTATTCATAATGTTTATACGTATTGAAAATGTCCAGTTTGGCAAACTCTGGCATGTGTGCCTGTCCTGGTGTCACCACCACAATCAGGATAGCTAATGAAAATATCCAGGGATGGTGAATGGTCCAGGGCCTAAATGCTGAGTACTGTTCTTAGAAAGGATCTGAGTTCAGTTCCCAAACACCCGTACTGGGCAGCTAAGAACCATCTGGAACTCCAGCCCCAGGAAATCATACACCTTCTTCTGGATTCTGTGGGGACCTGTAATAGTGTGTGTGTGTGTGTGTGTGTGTGTGTGTGTGTGTGTGTGTGTCCCAACCTCCTCATATTCATTTGTGACTTCATAGCAAATAAATATTCACTTTCTCTCACTATGAGGCAGTTTACATTTTTAAGAATTTTATGAGTAGAAGCACTTAGCCATGCTGTTTGCTTTGTGTGTTGCTTCATTCTGCAGCATCATTCTGAGCTTCATCTCTATTTAACTATATGTCAACAGCTCAGGAGTTTGTTGTTTCATAGTAGTTTTCAGCTGAATGATGACAACACAGTTTACTCACCTTCTGATGGAAGTTGAGCTGTTTCCAGCTTGGGACTATTAAACAAACAAACAAAACCTGCAATGAACATTCATATGCAAAACTTTGTGTGGCATATGCTCTCATTCATATGCTCAGAATTTTTTATCCTTGCCACTGCCTGATGTGGTTGGTTCCATTTGTCTTAGTCATTCAAGTGGATGTATGCTACTGTGCCTCATTTGTTCAACTCCAAAGGTTGGAGTCTCCTAGTAAGTTGTACGGTACTCCCCACTGTCATTTATCCAAGCCTCTGCTCATGCTGTTCTTGCAGCCAGAACTCCTCTTTCCCTTCATTCCTCTGAATTAAGCCATTTTCCCTTAATACTCAGCTCCAGGATCTTTGGTCCCAAGTGCCTTCCTACATGTACTGTTCCAGTCAGCTTTGTGTTACTGTAACAAAATGCCTGAGATACGTAACTTAAACAAAAGAAATAGACTCACAGTTTTGAAAGTTTGAAATCTATAAGCCCTGTTGTTTAGACCTCGTGGTGGGTGAAGCAGCTTATGCTGGTAGAGGAAGCTGTTCCTCTCATGGTGTCCCAGAAGCAGAGAAAAGAAAAACAAGCTTAAGGTCTGCCTAAAGGTCCCAGTGACTCCCATTAAGATCCAAACTAAAACTTTGCACCCACAGAGCTCTGTGAATAACTTCCTGTTGAATGTTTTCTTGTGTTTAATGAGACTCTGTGAAGCCCATTTCCCTGTTCAAGGCCAAGGAGCTGATACAAGGTTGGTACATCACAGCTTGGCTGTCCTGACCAGTGGTAGCACAGACAGAGAACCATACTGTGAGTCAATCCTTTACCTGTGTTTTGAAGATTTCAGGTCTGTTTTCTCTTGTTTAAAGAGAGATGTTAATGTATCCATTTTTGTTTGGATTTTTTAAATTGGAAACAATGTGTAGGTGTGGCAGTGTTTTTAAGTGACCTGAACAATTGTCCTAATTCTAAACATCCTTTGAGCAAGGAAGGGAAAATAAAAAAATATAGTCAAAGGGACTTATAAACATCAAGAAAATTAGATTTGGTTCAACTCTTACCCAATCTCTCTTGATGTTATGATTTTAAGGCTTCTGGTCTGTGAGTTTTCAGTATTTTGATTGAACTAAAATTTGTCATCTATGACTGTGACATTTTGTTTACTTTGGTGGTGAGGAAGGGGCAGAGGTGGAGTGTTTTAAGCAGCTTCTGAGAAATTCTTGGTAGTTGGTAGTGTCCTCAGTTAATAGCTGGATGTGGTTTTACAGGTTCCCAGGAGGGAGGTGGATACATAAAAACAGTGTCTCCAGGAGACTCATTCTGGTAATCAGGGATGGTAAAGAGGCTGTGTTTCAAAGTCCATTGGAAATCGCTTCGATGGAATTCAGCGGCTGTCACTGAGGCTTTACAGCCTGGGGATTTGTCCTGCTGTGCACCATAGCCTCTGCAGGGTTTTAACCCAGGCACTGTGCCTCCCTGGGGGGATACATAGCCAAATTAACCTGCCACTTGAAATGTGGAAAGAAAGCATCAGTGTGTGGAAATTCCTGGCAATCCACTGGCTGGTCCAAATAGTTTTGAAATAGTCCTTTATAAGAGTTCCATTCCAAGGCCAGACAACTCCATCCACCAGAAGCTAAGCAAAGCCCTGGCAACCATGGATACTCTCGCCATAGTTAAGATGAGAAGGCGCTCGTGACTAAGGCCGTTGACACACTGACCTGTGCAGGAGAGTCTCCTGCCAGAAAGGGGTCCTGAGCTCCTGCACTAGACAGAGGCCTGCAAGGGAGGGAGGGAGACAGGCAGACCATCTCAGGTAGACAGAGTGGAGAAAGAGAAGGAGGAAAGAAAGTAGAAATAAAGAGGAGGGGAGAGGGAGAGTAGAGAAGAAAGAAGAGGTGAGGTGAGGAGAGACAAGGAGAAGGAAGGGAAAGGAAGGGAAGGGAAGGGAAGGGAAGGGAAGGGAAGGGAAGGGAAGGGAAGGAAGGGAAGGGAAGGGAAGAGAGGTGGTTGGCCTCTGATAGTACAGTCTGCCATGAGTTGAGTTACAAAGGTAGGTCCTTGGGTAGCTATACTGCTCTTGTCCCCAGTTTCATAGATCATGGGGTGACCAAATAAAGCTCTTTGACAAAACAAATGAGTCTGTGGCTGACAGTCCTATTCATTCATTTTTGAAGATTATGAACAGCAAATCCTGGTTTCTAGCTTCTACCTAGAAGAAAAGATTGTGTGTGTGGGGGGGTGGATAAATGGCTCAGCAGTTAAGAGTACATGCTGCTCTTGTGGAGGACCCAGGTTTGGTTTACAGCATCTACAGGGCAGCCCACAATCATCAGTAACTCTAGTTCTAGGGAATCTGATACCCTTTTCTGAACTTTGTAATGTAGTACACATATATACATGCAAGCAAATCACTTATATACATAAATTAAATAAATCCAAAATTTTCAAATTTTTTTTTAAAAAGCTGAGGGAAATTTCCTCATGAAATGTCCTCACGGGGGGAAAAATCTTATGATCAGATTGCAAGCTGGCCTCAGATAGTAGTTTAAAGCATGGTCTCTGACGACTCCCTACTTGGCTGAGAGTGGCGCCGGACACATACACAAAGCTACTTAACTGTTCGTTAAGGATGAAGAGGCTCAGGGGATGACTCTGTTGATAAAGTGCTTGCTGTACCAGTATCAAGACCTGAGCCTGCCCTGCAAGACATTCTCAGTACGTGCCAGGGCAGAGAGAAAGGGAATACCAGGTGACAGACTGGGAACTGCAGAGAAGAGAGATTTAGAGATGTAGTTATCATAATTTTAAGGTTATACTTACCTCAGACCTTTGGCTTTTCAGTTGGTGATGTACATTGGCCAGGTGACCAAGGACATCCTGAAGTGGCCCCGGCCTTCCTCTCCTCCCGTTGTGAAACTTGAAAAGAGAGTGATTGCAGAATATGGAATGCCATCCACCCACGCCATGGCGGCCACCGCCATTTCCTTTACCCTCGTCATGTCTACCATGGACCGGTACCAGGTAAGGTTGGGGAGGCATTCATATCCCCTACCACTCACCTCTAACTGTAGAATGAGGAAGCAGAGAGAGGAACAATTCAGAATTTCTCTTAAAACTGCTTTGAGGGACATTATTTATGAGGTAAAAATGCAGGGACTCTGAAACCTACAGGGATGTTGAATAGTTTCTTCATAAGGTGAGCATCTAACTTAGCCTCCAAATTGGGTATATATGCCTTTGAGTGAGGATGGGCCCCAGAACGAAGAGCATAGTGTGGGCTGCCTGACATTGTCCTCTCCCTGAGGAAGTGTTTATCTGAGCTATTGCCTAGACAGACGGGAATCGCTGCTCTCTGGGCTTGCAGCAGACACAAAGTGTTTACAATCCTTATAAATGATCCTCCAGGGCAAAGATGATCCCACCAAATCCCTCTGCCAGACTCTCCTAGCCTGGGGCAGAAGAGAGTCGGGTACCCCCAATTACCTTCCAAGGATGACTCTGCCCCTGGTTAGGGACCAACTACTAGAAATGATGCCTCTTTTATTCTAGAACGATATAAATGACAGGAGATTAATAAATGTTGAAAATGGAAGAATTTCATTTAATATCTGCTTAGATGATAATTATAGTAAGATCTTTTCAAAATTACATGATTGCTGCAAGGAAGGTTTTTTATTTTTTTTCCTGCTCTTTGAGACACACCACCTTGACTTGGTATTTAATTTCATAAACATTACCCAGTAGCTGTTGGAAGTTTCAGATTTCATCGAATCTGGTGGTCTTATGTACCTAAATGTCAGCAGTAGGTCCCCATGCTCTTTATTCCAGATATCCCCAGCCACTCCATATTCCAAGTTAGACAGATGCTTCAGTCATCCAGCATGCTTGGAAGACGTCAGAACTGGGTCACATCTCAGGTCTGTCTCTAGAATAGTCTTCCTGGTCACACAGACATAGATCTGTTTCCTCACTGGGTCAAGGATGTTCATGAGGAATGTATCCAACTAGGTGAAACTACTGTGCTGTAACTTGTTGAAATGCCATGCCAAGACCCAAAAGTATGTGAGGTCCTCAAGACTGTCTTGAGTTCATGCTGACTCTTGAGCTGGGTTTCATCTATACTCCACTGCCCAGCAGGGCACAGGGGGCCCAGGCCCAGCTGAGTACACAGAGCTTTCTCAGTACCCAGAGAGACCTGTAAATGTGCTGTCCTTTAGGGAAAAAGTCACTCAGGACAGAACATCACAATGACAGGAGGTTTTCAGATCCTGATGGACAGGAGGCATAGGGCAAACTTCATCTTTAAAGGCCTGCCTGAGGGACCTTGGTCCACTGGGGGGCACCTCCTAATGTTTATATCACCAAAGTTTACAGCAAATAGTGCCAGACTATGATGACCAAACAGTCACCTGCTGGGACATTTTATGTTAAACCCAAAATACATTCTTAGTTCCCAAATCAAATGCCAGTCTCACGCCCTGTGAGGAGAGGCTGGCTGTAGGAAGAGAGCAGTAACACCTGAAGCACTCATTTTAAAACATTCCTGCTCCCTCTCCTTCCACAAGTGCGATCAGTCCTTCATTCTGACATGGCTCCTGGGCCGCTGTCTCACCTAGAAATCCAAACACCCCTTTAAAGCTGTCCAATCACAATGCCCTTTATGGCTAGTACAGTATGGCAGTATCTCTAAGGCCTGAGCTGAAGTATGATTTCTTTCCTATTTAGCTTGTTGTGATGAATCCATGCAGCTATTGGGTTTATTTACTTACAAACAGCTCTAAATGTGGATTTGCAAATTTATTGTGCATCGGAGCTAATATCTGGCTGCAGGAGCGTATTCACTTTAAATACCTTCTGATGAAAATCTGAGGCTAGGCCGATGAAGACCCTTAAAGAGAAACTGCTGGTTATGGTATATACACCTATAGCCCAGCACTTGGGAGACTGAGATAGGGTGGTCACACATTTAAGGGAAGCCTGGGCTGCATAGTAAGATCTTGTCTCCAAAATATATATATTTTTAAAGAGAATGTTTCAACCAAGTGTTACTGACTCAGTGTTAGCTGGGAATATTGGCTTCTGGTTCTGACAGAGCCACTGACTGTGTGGCTTTGTGTACATCCCTCTGGCTCCTGTTGTGAGGAGCAAAACATGATGGTTGACAGGAGAGCATTCTGTGTTAATGTGGCCATGACTTGCTATCATGGTTAAAGGCATCATTGTTTATAAAACAGCACTGATTACAGACCCAGAACTGTATCTCTAGGCATTCCCTCCTCACCTGCCTCCATTTTAAAAATGTTTTCAGATGATTAGATTGCTGGTCTGTCTAGGGAATATAAGATTCAGACGGGCAATTGTTTACAATGAGTCCCATTCCCAACTGTGATATCAGATGAGATAAATCTGACCAGTTGGGTGGTGCGAGCCTGGAGCCTTGGCTACTCAAGAGGATGAGCTAAGAAAATCATGAGTTCAAGCCCACTGCCAGTAACTTAGAGTCTGCTTCATGGTGAAAAAAAAAATCTAATAAAAGGGGACTAGTGGCAAAATGCCTACTTAGCTCTAAATTAAATTACACACACACACACACACACACACACATACACACACACATACATGGGGTGAGGGAGGGGAGAGAGAGAGAGAGAGAGAGAGAGAGAGAGAGAGAGAGAGAGAGAGAGAGAAGCATTCATCCACACATAATCTAATGTCCATATTTTTCTCCTCTGCAGTACCCTTTCATTTTAGGTCTGACAATGGCTGTGGTGTTCTCTACACTGGTGTGTCTCAGCAGGCTCTACACAGGGATGCACACGGTCCTGGTAAGGCGGTGGGGGCAGGCTTTGTGACTGGACAGCATTTGGTCTGAGTACATGCTCCTTAAGCTGTGTACTTACGCGTGGCTCGTTGGAGTATGTCTATAACTCCAGCTGCTCAGGAATCTGAGCCAGGAGGATCACAAGGTCTATGCAACACACGAAGACTATCCAAAACCCTTAAAGTAAAAAGAGGGCTGGAGACTGCAGTGTCCTGCAGGATTTGTTAAATGAGACACTGTGGGGATATAGAAATGACAGACCCTGAAGAAAAGAAAGACACCTCTACAGAAGAGCTGGGAGTGGGTGGGCTCTGCCCACTGTGATGGAGGGCACCTGCTTTACTCAGCACATTTGTCTGGTAACCCATGAGGAGGAGGAGGAGGAGTCAGTCTTAGTGGGAGGTCTCTGTAGGGGACAGTTTCACGGAGGTGGGTGTGGTTACTTGGTTTTACACCCATTACCAACATCTGCAGAAGGTTTTGGTGTTACCATGGGTCTCAGGCATTGGGGTCCTGACTTGTCTGTACCAATGTCAAAACACACATCCACCCCGTGCTTCATTGGCTCCTTATTCAGGACTTTCGTTTCTCCCCACAGGAGAAGCGTCTCAATAGCAGAGCCCTTGTCTTTCATATTCAAGGCTCTTGGTTCAGTTCCTGGCACTACAAAATCTATCCATCCATCCATCCATCCATCCATCCATCCCTCCCTCCATCCTTCCACCCATCCATCCATTATGGAAAGTCTCAGAATGAGTGGGGAGGAAGGGAAAGGAAACAGGGAAAGGAAGGCAAATATTAAGGTAAAGCCAGACTTGGCAGGATCCTGTGATCTCAATACTACTTGGGAGATGGAGACAAAACTTAAGGTTAGCCTTCGGTACATAGTGGCTTCCAGGGCAGCTTGGGGTGCATGAGGTTTGGCTTTAAAACAAAACATATTGGTGTAATGACAATAAAGTGAAATGCATTGGTTGTCACTGTGACAGAGTATCTTTCTGGAACAACTGACAAGAGAAAACAGTTCTGTTGTCTCATGACTTGGGAGAGAACATTCCATCGTGGTAGAAAAGGCATGGCAGGATTCATGAAGGCAGAACTGTATGGATTGGACCCAACGCCTCATCCCAGCATACCAGCAGTCAAGAGAGAGGCTAGTCAAGGAGCGGGCTCAGACTACGACCTTCATGACTGTCCCCTTAGCAACTCATTTCAGGCAGCCATACCCCATCTTCTAAGAGGTTCTACAGCTTCAGAAAATAGTTCTGTGTGGAACACTCTACTATGAGGAGACCAAGTATTCAAACTCATGAGCCTGTGAGGGACATTCCACATTCAAACCATAGATAGAGCTAGACTGAATCCAGAAACTGAAGACAAGCTAAGGGCAGCCAGGACTTGGGCAGTTTCTTATCAATTGGGTCACTCCTGACACAGCAAACAGGGCAGAGCTAGCATCCAAGCTCGAGGATTTGAGAGAATTCACATGGGTCCCATGTAGGTCCTCAGACTTGACGTGAAATCCTGGGATTCCTGTTGTTCTCAGATACTCAGATGGATTGGAATCATAGCTTCCTTTTTTCTTATACTTTCCTGGGTTAGAGTTGTTGGTAGAGTCACAGAGAGAAGCATATTCATTTAGAAGTTGACCCACCCTCCTACCGTATTACAAACAGTATGGTAAAGAAGTCCGTGAGTATTCAGGGTGTAAGGTAGCATCCAGCCAGGGAGTTACGGAGCACAGAGCTGGTTGTGGTTTGCCACAGGGACACCATTTCTCATACCACTCTGTACAAGAACCACGTCTTTAAAAAGACATGGACCTTTGACAGCAGTATTCATCTCAGCTGTGAAACTGCAAGAGACATTAGCAAAAGGCCTTGTCAGGAAAGGCCATCTGCCCAGTCCTTCTTGAGTCTCTCCCTGGTGCCAGGACTGAATTTGCATGTAACAGTGGAAGGATAGGTCATCATAGGAGACTGAAAAGGGGGTGCCAACTGAGAGCAGCTGGAAGCCTCACGAGAGGCAGGTAAGGCATAGTATTAAGAGCATAGAAGGCCGAGATGAGGCTCAGTCGGAGAAATGCTTGCCTAACGTGCACAAAGCCTGTGGTTCTGTTACCAGAACAGAATGAAACCGGACATGATGTCATACAACTGCAGTCCCAGCCCTGGGAAGGTTGAAGCAAAAGGATCAAAGTTTAAGGTTATTTTTAGTACATAGAAAGTTTGAGACTATTGTAGACTATATGAAATAATGCAGCAGATTCCATAGTAAATAAAACGTCTAAGAATAAACGAAGACATCGGCCATGTTTTCACAGGTATACCTCCCCAATCCAGGCCCCAAGCAGTTTACTGTTTGAGTGAAAGGGGTTCCATTCTTAGAAACACCAAAGAGGCAGTTAAGACGGTGCTGTTCTACCTTCCAAGGCCCAGTCCTCGCTTCTCTGTCCCAGCACACACTGCATCTGCTGGCTTCTGAGAAGGAGGGGAGGGGAGCAGAACATTCTCAATTCGCCACACCACTTCTCCACATGACAAAGATGTTCTCTGCAGATCCCTTCCTAGACCTCAGTGTGGAACTCCACAGGACTCTCCTGGGTGTTTTGGCATTTCTTTTATCTGGTGCTACTTTTTAATTTCCATAGGTTTCCATTTTGGAAGAAAAAAAATTGATCTCAGGTTAAAATTAAAACCAAAGAAAACACAGGAATGCAGAGCTCTAGACACACAGAGAGAAAACACACAAATCCACTTCAGTGAAACACAGTTACATTTTTTTCTCTTTCCTTTTTAAGTGGCTTTTGGAGATGGAGAGGCAGATATTTGCGGGAAGATTGATTGGGCCTCTCATTTAGATGCAAAGAATGGGTTGCAGCCATTCTTTGGAAAGGATGGAGTGAGGGCCCAGGGTAGCTCCTCTCCTCCCTGGTCTTGTTCCATTGTTGGAGCCCACTGGCTTTCTCTTACTCAGTTCTGCCTTGTCTTGCAACCCGACACTGGCTCAGGCCCAGAGTGCATCAGGCTGCATGACCAGAGCCTGGATCAGGGCACCATGAGTCATGACATTCTAGTAGCAAAGGGAATGGCTGTTAGCAAAGTGGGGTGGTGGTAAATTATAGGTTACTGCAGTTCTGTATTCAGCTCGATAATTTCTGATGGGCGTAAGGCTTGGAACAAGATCTAGGGATATCTTGATCCCTAGAAACAAACCCACCTGCTCTCCTGGGTCTTGGAGTCTACTGAAGAAAGCAGATGTGTGAGCTAGTGATAACTTGGCATGAATGCTATAATTAGCAGAGGCACAGCTGGCCTGAACCAACTAAAATAATGTGGTTTCTTCCCAGGACCCCTCAGAACAATCCACAGGAGGCAGTTGCCCCACCATCGCTGCATGTTGAAATCTCCTAAAAATCTTTGTCTTTCTTATTGCTTGACAGTTTCATACCCATGTATAATACATGTTAGTTGTTTTCTCCTCTATTCCCCTCTCTCACTCCCTCCAACTGAAACCTTCTCCCTGAGAAGTCTCATTCTTACGTTCATGTCTTCTTCATTTGTGGCTCTCTGAATTTAATTAAAGCTGTGCGGTAGGTTGAATATGCTTGGCCTAAGGAGTGTTAGTATTAGGAGGTGTGGGGTAGGTGTGACCTTGTTGGAGGAAGTGTGCAACTGTGGGTGTGCTTTAAGACCATCATCCTAGTTGACTGGAAGCCAGTCTTCTATTTGCCTTTGGAACAAGATGTAGAACTTTCAGCTCCTCCTGAACCATTCCTGCCTGGACACTGCCATGCTCCTGCCTTGATGATAATGGACTGAACCTCTGAACCTGTAAGCCAGTCCCAATTAAATGTTGTCCTTATGTGAATTGCCTTGGTCATGGTATCTGTTCACAGCAGTAAAACCCTAACTAAGGCAAGCTGCTTGTCCAAGGTAGAAGGCTATTTATTGGAGCACTGGACAACTTATCAGTGGCTACCTGACTGAAGAAAATGACTCCTGTTCCACCAGCAGCCATTAGCAGCTGGTAATCCCTCAGGAGGTGTGAGACAGTGTGGATCCCTCCAAAATCCCATGGAGATCTTAAAAATATCTCTGGCCATATCTGTATACCCACAGCTATAGCAGCATTAGTCACAATAGCAAAAGAAAAACAAAATTTGGAAGCAACCTGTATCTGCTGTTGAATGAAGAGGTAAACAAAATGTAGTGTGTACCTACAGTAGAATGTTATTCACCCTTAAATAAGTAGAAAATTATGATTCGTGCTGTAATGTCAACACCAAAGGTATCCTGTTAAGTGAAATAAACCATTAGCAGAAGGACAAAAATTGTAAGAGTCCACTTAACTGAAGAATTTTGGGTAGTCACTTTTAAGTGACAGACAGTCAAATATAGTTGTTGCCAGGGCTGGGGGTAGAAGGGCATAGAAATTATTTCTTGAGCATAGAATATGGATTTTTCTCTAGAAAGAGTTCTGGAGATGCATGCTGGGGGGGGGTCATTGCACAGGTCTGTTGTATTTGACACCATTTTAAGTTGGTTAAGATAGTGAAATGTATGTGGTGCTTATCTGTAGGAAAATTAAATTAAAAGTGTTACTCGGGCTGGGAAGACAGCTTGATGGGTAAAAAAATGTTTGCCACACAAACATGATGACTTGAGAAACCCTAAAACCCAGGCAAAGGCTGGTATTGCAATCCCAGAACTTCTATGGGGAGATGGGGGAGAGAGATAGAGACTCCCTGAAAGCCCACAGGCCAGGTAGCTTGGTGTAGGTACCCCAAAAACCAAGAGATTCTGTCTCAAACAAGGTGGAAGACCAGGACTGATACAAAGGTTGTTTTCTGACCTGCACATGTGTACCATGTACATATAGGTGCACCCTTATTCACACACACACACACACACACACACACACACACATGTTCATGTGCAAGTGATTGTTAGGGACATGAGTCCTGATCTATGCAAGCAGCTCCCTGATTGATTTTAATTCAGA